CTGAGATCTAAGGATCAAATTTCAAAGCCAGTCTAGGCAGGAAAGTCCTGGAGACTCTTAACTCCAATTTAACCAACAAAATGGTAGAAGTGGAGCTGTGGCTCAAGTGGTAAAGTACCAGCCTCCGGTGAAAAACGTGAGGGTCAACACCCAAGTTCTGAGTTCAAAGCCCTAGAACTGGCACACACACACACACACACACACACACACACACACACACACACACACACACAATTCAACTAGTTATACAAGGGGGGGTTCAATTGCACAGACATGTGTATTGCATCTCACTTTGAATTATCCCATGTTTCTTTAATCCCCCACCCAACACCGTCAATTCCTTTCATAACTGTGGAGAATACCAAAGACTGGCTGTAGAATAATTTTTTTTTTCTGAACTATTCCCTCTTGATGGATGTTGTGGCCTTTTATTATTGTTTTTCCATTACTCACAGTGATGCAATGAATATCCTTGGGAAATAGTTCCTCAAAGATATGTGCCAAAATTTGACAGATACTTCCAGATGGAATTGGAAAGCCTGTTTTGCATCTGGGTAGATATTGCCAAACTGTTCTGGACTGCTGCTTCAGAGTTCTCCTCATCCTCACCAAAGTGGTGTCTTACGGATCTCTTTTAAGAGATTGTAATTAAAGGGGAAATAATAGCATTGTTGGCTTAGTTGGCATTTCTTTGCTTTTTTGTTTGTTTGTTAAATAATTTGGCTTTTAAAGAGCATAATGAGGGCTGGGAATGTGCATTGCTCAGTGGTAGAGCGCTTGCCTTGCATGCATGAGACCCTGGGTTCGATTCCTCAGCACCACATGAGCAGAAAAAGCCGGAAGTGGCGCTGTGGCTCAAGTCGTAGAGCACTAGCCTTGAGTTGAAGAGCTGAGGGACAGCGCCCAGGCCCAGAGTTCAGACCCCACGACCACCACCACCAACAACAAAGCATACTTTGCATCCTCTCTTTCTCAAGTCCCCTGTCTGTCCAAGAGCCCTCCCTTACCTGTATCAAAATTGCCTTTGCAATTTTTCTCCCCTGCTCCTTTACCTTGAAGAGAGGTCACTTGAATTGGCTGACAAAAGCAGAAAACTCAGCACAGATGGTCTATGTCAGCAATTTCCTTATGATTTTGTAAATGCATTTACGACACTGCTTTTACCTGCTGGCATTGCTGCGGTCACTGTTGGTAACCAGATAAAACAATTGTTTGTTGCCATGGACTTATTTATTTATTTTCCAGTCGTGGGGCTTGAACTCAGGGCCTGGGCACTGTCCTTGAGCTTCTTTTTGCTCAAGGCTAGTGCTCTACCACTTGAGAGACAGCTTTTTCTGTGTATGTGGTGCTGAGGAATCGAACCCAGGGCTCTGCATATGCTAGGCGAGCGCTCTACCACTGAACCACCTTCCCAAACCTGGTGCCATGTATTTAATGATCAGAATCAACATCTCCCTGAAAGCACCAGTCCTCTCTGACACCTCCCCCACTCCCCTCCCTCCCCCCACTCCTGGTGACAGCCAGGATGTCCAAATCTAGACTTTCAAAGGCTTGTCTTTCCATGAAGCTTCTCGAAATTCCTTCAACTGTAAGTTTCTTTCCCTTCTGAGACTTCCTTTCATGTTACCATCTGTCTGTCCATCCATCCATCCATAACATCCATTTATATTTTTTTTCAGAGGATGTAGAGTAAAATGTAACAACTTTCTGTTGTAAAATCTTTTTTTTTTTTTTTTTTTTGGGTCCTGTCGTGGGGCCTGAACTCTGAGCCTGGGCGCTGTCCCTCAGCTCTTCAGCTCAAGGCTGCACTCTACCACTTGAGCCACAACACCACTTCCAGCTTTTTTCCTTTTGCTTATGTGGTGCTGAGGAATCGAACCCAGAGCCTCAGGCATGCAAGGCAAGCGCTCTACCACTGAGCCATCTTCCCAGCCCCCTGTTTTTTAAAATCTTGTCTACAAAAGTGGTGCTGTGGCTCAAGTGGTAGAGCGCTTGCCTGGAGCTGAAGAGCTTAGGGACAGCACCCAGGCCCAGAGTTCAAGCCCCACACTGACCCTCCCCCCCAAAAATCTTGTTTACTAGAGAACTTAGCCATGTAAAAGATGACAGACAACGCTGAGTGCCAGTGGCTCAAGCCTATAATCCTAGCTTCTCAGGAGACTGAGATCTGAGGATCTCAGTTTGAAGCCAGCCCAAGGAGAAAAGTCCGTAAGACTCTTATCTCCACTAAACTACTCAGAAAAAACTGGAAGTAGTGCTGTGGCTCAAGTGGTAGAGCACTAGCCTAGAGCATGAAGAGGCTCAAGGACAGCACCCAAGCCCTGAGTTCAAGCTCCATAACTGACCAAAAAAAAAAAAAAAAAAAAGACAAGTCTAAGATACTTAGAAGATCTGATTAAGAGCAAGTAGGAGGTGGGTGCCAGTGGCTCACGCCTGTTATCTTAGCTACTCAGGAGGCTGAGATCTGAGGATCACAGTACAAAGCCAGCCCAGGCAGGAAAGTCCATGAGACTCTTATCTCCAATGAACCACCAGAAAACTGGAAGTGGCACTGTGGCTCAAGTGGTAGAGCACCAGGGCCCAGGCCCAGAGTTCAAGCCTGACAAAAAAAAAAAAAGGAGCAAGTAGGAGAGAAAGAGTAACATCCGCAGAGATTGATTGCTAGGAAGAGAGGTCCAGGATAAAAGAGTTGACGAGACAGTGACCAGGCTTTTGCCTTGTACACTTTTACCAAGAGCCAGGGATGCTGCCCCTCTCCCTCTTTCTTAGAAAGTTCCTCTCAGTTAAGATGGGGCACCATGAAAAGCCATGCTGAAGTGCTGAAAAGAGAGGTTCGTTATACACCACATAGACTGTGGGAAGACAGCCCTTAAGCCCGACTTCAGTCATCTTCGGGGCACAGACATGAACTATGGGTTTGAATAGACAACTCTGTGAGAGGTGTGCATAGTGAAGCAGTCTAGGCGCCTGATTGGCCATTAGATCCATCCTTGTCCTCTGAGGTTCTGGGAAAAGGTGCTAGACATTGCAGTAAACTCTCATCGCTTGAGAGGAGGGAGGTAATCTGGCCAGTCCTCTGTCCCGAGCTAGTAGTCGGTCCAGGTGGTTCTCTTCCTTTGGGGGAAGGGTCCTCCTTCTCCTCCTTGTAAGCATGCCCTGTCCTTCTTGGAACCCAAGATGTCTGCCAAGCGATTTCAGGAGAGAATGGCTCCGATCGGAGGACACAGATGCCAAGCAGTGACCAGAATACCCAGCTCTCCTCAGGCCTTTAGTTAATGTGTGGGGCCTAAGGAAGGAGTCAGTGTTTTTTGTTTTTTTTTGTTTTTTTCAGAAACAAAGAAGAATAAGTACCACGTACAGCCTGGCATGCGGGAGGAAGCAGGGGCAGAGGTGCCAGTTGAGCGGGGGCAGGATGGGAGCCTGGGCGGAGAACTTTTGCTTCTGCTCTTGCTATGGGCATCATGAGCAAGGGCGTTTGAGTCACCCAGGGAGGCCATACTTCCTTTCTAGTCATTTGGTTGCTTTCAAATTCTCTGCCCATTCTCCCTCACCCTCAAGAAATCCTGTACATGGACATCTGTGTGTGTGTGTGTGTGTACATACACTTGATTCTTGGTACGTATAATACGAGTTTAAAACCAAGGAAATGTCAATTACCTTGCTATTGTGACTCCTCCCAAATAGGCTTTTCTATTTTTTTTCTCCTCCCCCCCACCCCTCCCCCCCCACCTGTCCTGGGCCTAGGCACTGTCCCCGAGCTTTTTTTCTGGCTCATGACTAGTGCTCTATCACTTGAGGCTCAGGGACAGTGCCCAGGCCATGAGTTCAAGCCTCAGGATCGGCAAAAAAGAAAAGGAAACTCTAGAATAAAGTCTTTCATTTATTTGTCTGATACTCGAGTCTAGAGTGAAGGGAAAAGATCAGGTAGTTGAGTCCAACTTTCTAAAAGGAATTTATTGAGCGCCATCTGGTGGTCATTAGGCAGCATGAACACAATTGTTTCCATGCACAAAATCTTGAAAACACATCTTAAGGTAATAGAAATATCCCTTCAGGGGATAGTTCTGCAATAGAAATATATCTCTTAGTGGTAGAGTTATGGTTATATATGACTTTGGAAATACGTTGAATAATAATAATAATTATTATTATTACTGGTTCTGGGGCTTCAAGTCAAGGTCTGGGCACTGTCCCTGAGTTTCTTCTACTCAAGGCTAGCACTCTACTTCTTGAGCCACTTCTGGTTTTCTGGTGGTTCACTGGAGTTAAGAGTCTCACTGATTTTTCTGCCCAGGCTGGCTTTGAACCGCAATCCTCAGATTTCAGCCTCCTGAGTAGCTAGGATGACAGGTGTGAGCCACCAGCATCTGACTGAGCCAGGAATAGGTGACAGGGGCTATATGTACTGGGCAGAAATTCCTCCAGCTAAGCCTGCTCAATCCTTCACAAGTGGGGAAAAAAGCAGAAGTCAGGGAACTCTGGTCTGGCTTCTTTCTTTGCCTGGACTTCGTTTTTGTTTTTTGGGTCCGGTCGTGGGCCTGAACTCTGGGCCTGGGCGCTGTCCCTCAGCTCTTCAGCTCAAGGCTAGCGCTTTACCACTTGAGCCACAGCACCACTTCTGGCTTTTTTCCTTTTTTGCTTATGTGGTGCTGGGGAATTGAACCCAGGGCCTCATGCATGCAAGGCAAGCGCTCTACCACCTTCCCAGCCCTGCCTGGACTTCTTGTACTTCCAATCATCTGTGTCCCAGGACACTAACGGTGTGTGTGTGTGTGTGTGTGTGTGTTAAACTTTATTGGTAAAGTGAAAACAAGAGCTAAAGGCAGATGTTTTAAGGCGATCCCGTTCAAACACAAGCAAGCAAGTGAATGAAAACTCCTAGCCAAGCGTTGTACACTCCTGAGACACCTTTGAATTATTTTATATTATGCTGACTGGGGGCGGGAGGGGGGGGAAGGGGAGGTGTACACTTTTCAGTACCGATTCATTACTCGAAGATCTGAATTCAGACACGTTTATTGTGGTATTTCTGAAGGCGGCCGGCATGGAGGGAGGGGCGGCGTCAGTTTCCAGCCGGGGGCACGTTCTCGTGGAGGCACTGTAAGGCCAAGTCTGTCCACTTCATTTCCTGTTCTTTCACAGATTCTGTGGTGCCTCCATTGTCTTGTTCAGGCTCAGGAAGTTCATTCTGAAAAGGCACAATAGTCATTCAGAACAATGATCTGCTTTTACTATTTCTTCGTCCTTTTTTTTTGTTTTAAATAGTAATGGAGCTTGAGTTTAGGGCTTTGCATGTGCCGGACACTCGATGCGTGAGCAACACAATAGCTCCAGTCCTTTTTGCTCAGATTATTTGAGATAAAGTCTAGGGTTTTTGTGTTTCTAGGACTGCAGTCCTTCTGACCCCAGCCTTTCTCATAGTTGGGATGATAGGCATGCATCATTATGCCCAGCTATTGGTTGAGGTGAGGTCTTGGGGCTTGAACTCAGGGCCAGCGTTCTACCCCTTGAGTCACAGCTCCACTTCTGGCTTTTCTGGTGGTTCACTGCAGATAAGGATTTCATAGACTTTTTTCCTAGGGCTGACTTTGAACTGTGATCCTCATATCTCAGCCTCCTGAGTAGCGAGGATGACAGGTGTGACCACCAGCACCTGGCTGTATGTTTAGCTTTAGAGTCTCAAGGAATTGCTGGGGCGCTGGAGGCTCATGCTTGTAATCCATGCTTTGGACACTCTCATGTGGACTTTCCTGCCCGGGCTGGCTTTGAACTGTGATCCTCAGCACTCAGCTCAGATCGTACCTTTAACCCATCACCCACACCCCGAATCATGATCAGTGATGATAACCTACCAGTGGTATTGCAACATCTTCATAAGGCAGCTTGTCTTCTCGCCAGGCATCGTCAATCAAATCCAAGATCCTTCCATCTCTCTGTACCTCACTGTCCATTTTCCTGCAGCGATGCTGCCGTTAGATCTGTAGGTGCAAAAGTTACGTCTTCAGCTGGGCGCTGAAAAAAACAACAACAAAGAACAGTTAAGTCTTCTATGTGAAGACTAAGCAATTGGCACGCTTCTCCAGGCTTTTGAGTCCAGAGCCATTCTGCAGTGCATTACCACCTTGGGAAAAGCTCATCTTGTATGGGTCAGGTGATAACTTACAGACTGGTGTATAAAGAGTGACAGGAGAATAACACGTCTCTCTCCTTCCTTCCTTTTTTGCGCCCAGGCTAGCCTTAAACAGAGCTCCTCCAGATCTCATCTTCTTGAGCAGCTGGGATTACAGGTGTGAGTCAGTGGAGTTTTGCGTGACGGCCAATACATTTCTCAACAAAGCTCTAATCATGCTGCACCTAAATGGGGTTTTCCTTTCCTAACTTGCACATTCACTTCCCGCCTGCCACCCCCTCCCCCCCAATCACAGTACCTTTGATGAGTCCCTAATTCAGGACTGCTTGCCCAATCTCCTCTACCTGCTCCATTTGCCTTCACCCAAGCCTCAGCACTCCCTGCAACTCAACACTGCCTGGGAATGTGTTAACTGGTCAACCGCAGGCCTGACTCAGACCTCAAGGTGGGAACAATGTTGGCAGTTGAACTTACAAATGTCACTTTCTTAAATAGCTTCTGATCTGATCTCTGAGAAGAAAAGTCCCCCCCCATCCAAGCAAGGGTGGCAGAGCCTCAGGCTGCTCTTGTTTGCCTTCCCTTCACAATTTCTTCTCTAATTTTCATGGTGTACTGCCTTCCCTGCCTGGCCTGAGGGGTCTGGATGCTTAGCTCCTTTGAGTGTGGCTCACTCCTCATTTTCCTTCTAAAACTGCTGCAATCCAGTGCAAGAGGCTGGCCAGCTTGGAGAGCACTTCTGAGGTTCCCTAAGTTTGGGTTCTGCATCATCAAAGGCCAGCCTTTGTTGCTTCCTGCTACAAAGTGGCAACCTTGAAGGTCTGGCAAGCAGCGAGATACTGGAAGCTTCTATTTCTTTTTTGTTGATTGTTTTGTCAGTCTTGGGACTTGAACTCTGGGCTTGGGCACTGTCCCTCAGCTCTTCAGTTCAAGGCTGGCGCTCTATCACTTGAGCCACAGTACCACTTCCGGTTTTCTGGTGGTTCATAGGAGATAAAAGTCTCACGGATTTTCCTGCCTGGGCTGGCTTTGAACCATGATTCTCAGATCTCAGCCTCCTGAGTACCTAGGATGACAGGCATGAGCCACCGGCGCCTGGATATCTCAGCTTCTAGTTTTAAGGTGATGGACACTCATGGACAACCAACCTCTGGGTATGGAATTCAACTATGCCAAGCAGTTCTGTGCCTGTCTCCCTGAGCGTACACATTGTCCTAACACATGGTCAAGCCCTGTACCCGGGTTGGGGCAAGGAAGGGTTTTTATTCCTGTACGGATAGATTCAGGCAAAAATGAAGCAAAAAGTGCACAGCTACTTCTGTCAGCAGTGAAGGAGGAGAGATGTTAATGTTTTACTCTGAATTAATCTACTACCACCTAGTGGAGAAACCAAACAAGTTAAAGGAAAGGTATACCCAAGTCATCCTTTCCCCTCAGTCCCATTTGCTCTCCTTTTTCCTTGCCTCTCTGTCCTCATTCTTTGCAGCTCTGCCCTCAGGATATTCTCATGGGCTCCTCTGGTCCTTTCCTCAGGATCATACAGATTTCACCTTCTTTTTGGGGGAGTAAAGTTCCAAGGAATCTCTCCAGCTCCATCAGGCTTTCTGTACTTGAATGTTTGTCTCTTATACTAACTTGATCCTTTAGACAAGCTAGGTCAGCTTTCTAACCAATTGGCTTGGACATCATTAACACCAGTTGATGTATGTGTGTGTGTTGGACCAATGATTCCCTAGTATATCTTGGCCTCAATATTTTAAAAGGCCAGAAGCCCTGTCCTGCTTGCCATGCGCTCTACTTAAGAGCTCCTTTTCTTTTGAGGGTAGGGATGAGGGGGAGGAAGTGGGGGGGAACAAAAAAGGGGTGACACTGACCAAGAAGCATTGTATTCATAACCTGACTTATGGAATTGTAACCTTGGTAAAATTACTCAACAACGATAACAGTAATATATCTATATGTATATCCATCTTTATATATATATATACACACATATATCTAGGTATATTATTTAAATATACATTTTTAAAGGAAACTAAGAAATGTACCATTAGGGAAGGTGGCTTAGTGGTACAGTGCTTGCCTTGCATGCATGAGGCCCTGGGTCTGATTCCTCAGCACCACATAAGCAGAAAAAGCCAGAAGTGGGCTTCTGGCTCAAGTGGTAGAGCTCTAGCTTTGAGCTGAAGAACTGAGGGGCAGCGCCCAGGCCCAGAGTTCAAGCCCCACGACCGGACCCCCCCCCCACCAAAGTACCATTAATCATATGCATCTTTACATAGGTATTATATAGATCTCCCAATCAATCAATCTATGGTTAGAAAGACATGGATCTCCTTTCCCTCCATGCCAACCTCTCTTTCTTCCTCTCTGAGGTCAGTCTCTCGTTCCCAGGGTCAGGCGCTAAGGTAAGTCTGCCTCAGCCTGGGTGCAAACAAGCCTCGTGTTCTTTTCTTATTTTTCCCGGGGAAGCCAGCCCACAGTTTCAGACGTCTTAGCTTCTAGATCACTCTCTGAGGGGGGGCTGCCCTCCGAACCCCCCCCCCCCAGCCAAAGGGCGGGATTTGAACCCACTAGATCCCAATAGGGCCAGCCTGCCACACGGTTCACACACACACACAGCATTCACGACACACCTCCCCCCCCCCACGAGAAAGGCGCAAGCTTTTTCCAGCTCTGATTTTTCTGTGCGTCGTGGGGCTCGAACTCAGGGCCTGGGCGCCGTCCCTGAGGTGGTTTGGTGCGCCAGGCTTCGAGCCCCGGCGCCGTGGGGGGGTCACAGCTCCGCGCGTGCGCATTTCGGTGACGGAAGCCCGGGGGGGTGGGGGGCGGGCCTTTGGCGTGTCTCCCGTTGACCCTCGCCGGCTCCCGCCGTCCAGACCCAGCGCGTGAGCCCGCCCACCGCCGCCACTTCCGGCCTGGAGGCCGAACCGGAAGCGACGGAGGGGGTGGGGATGGCAGGGCGGGGGCCGGGAGGCCCAGCCTCGCCGCCACGCCCGGCGGGGTGCGGTCGGAGCGTGCCTCGGTCGGCGAGGTGACGGCGTCGGCCGCCCGCGGGGACCTCTGAGGCTCAGCAGAAGCTAAGCTGAAGAGGGAGAGGGTGGGGGGGGAAGGCGAGGGCCCCTTACCCGAGGCGAGTGCAGCCCGCTTCCGTCTCCGGACCACGCCCACCCCGGACCACGTGACCCACAGATTCCCCGGATGTGCCCGCATCCCAAGTAAGACTTTTGTGTCCTCG